TGAGTCGCTAAATGTTTTTGTGACCTGCCGTGCTTTCAGTTGCAATATACTTTCAGATCCACATAGATCCAGAGATTAGTATCAGACATCTGAATATGCTGTGTTTGTTTGCAACAACTATCTGGTAATTTGACGGTCTGCAAAAGCAGGTGACCAAAAATTTCGAAGTGCCTATTTAATCACTCTGCATGCTCAGGCGTGGATATCGCTCTGTTTTTTATTTGCAAGTTTTCTACGCTCTCTCTTCAATGCGAACCTTGCCAGAAACCTTAACACAAAGGCACAGGACATACTGGTCAACACATTAATAGAATGCGACCTCTAACTATGGCGTCTGTATCATATATTTTTCATAATTTTGAGTGTCTATAGGCAAACGCGTAGGTTCAAAATTACAGACAGATACACCTTGCTGAATGGCGCTCTCACGCTTTTTATGATTAGTTGAATGCAGATCTCCAAAAACCGAGAATAGCTGGAATGTTGTAAAGCCATTTTACAACTTTAAATGCTTCTCAGCAAAAGCGTGCTCTCTTTCTTTCTGCCTGGAATCTACTGTTGTCTTGGAATATTACGTAAGTTTTACTCATTGCTTTTGAGTGCAGTGTCTCTAGAGAGGCTAAATAAGTGACTTCGCACGTTATTTGTACTGGGCGAGGATTCTCCATGCTCATTTGTGTCACAGCATTGCAATTTCGCTTGTAGGATCCAACAATTGTCCGCGTGTTAATGGGCAGTTTAGACTTTTGGACTTCATGGACCAGGAATTAGATCAGCTATGGCCCATTAAGCTAATCGTGCATCTTTATGCTCAGTCTTCCATTGAATTAATAATGAATACTGAGGGCAATATATACACTGAAAGCTGCACACTCGAACGTTGCTTTCAAGAGGCCAGATTTTGCCGTCTCTCATGCGCAGTAATCATTCCTCCCAGTTCAATTTCCCTCCGTCGTAAGGTGAGACATCTTTGCCACTCATGTACTTGCGACTTTTGCTTAGTCCTTAATATCAATTAATATGTATGTTTGCTTACCGCATACTTGTATCCTTTGGACATTTAGGGGTTCCTCGTTGGCTTTGAGCCTCCAGAATTTGGAGATACGGACGTGGGCGAATTTAGCTTAAATGTGTCAACCGCATACGCTCTTGCTGACATCTTCGACCATCCGCTGGACTTAAAAACGGTTCGCCTATCCAGATTGAGCTTCCCAAATATTCTGTCATATATGCTTGACAGCGCTACCACATCGTCGGCTTGGACAGAATTCACCAGTGCGAAGTTGGAATCTTTTCTGGAACAAGCATTTTATATGCACAAGCCAATCCGCTGTTTATTGTAAACGCAAGTAAATACAGTGTAAGTGACATCCACATAAAACAAAATTAGTGCTTTGACAACTTGAATTTTAGAATAAGTGTTGGCCACCAGCAATAAGACCCTATTGTGAAAAAAGTGTCCTAACGTTCTGAAAAATGTACTTTCTCTTTGGATCTAATAATAAAGACTCAAAAACCTCAGAGGAATGTAGCATTTTTTTAAACTACCGTGTAAGCTGCTTTTATTCTCGGCAGTATTTTCTAGGTCCATCTAATTTCCTCGGGCTTCTTAGCGATCATTTGGCCTAATTTTGCTTGTTATTAATTCTTTTCGGTTGCGTAACTCGTAAGGTGTCGCCAGTGCCAAATTCTGTTCTAAAATAAAAGTCGTATTCTCCTCCAAAAATGTGCGTACATCTTTTAATGCTCCTAGTATAGACAATCCTGCCACTGGTTTCCGTTACTGTGCCTGCCGGATGAAGGCACATAACACATTCACATTCCGGTTTGCAGTTATTGATTGGTCCTTACTAGATCGAAGCTAACAGTCAGGAACGTTTTGCTGAAGTTAAAGGGCAACTAAAATAAACAGTTCATTTTGGATTATTTGCGTCATCCATCTTCTTACATAACATAGAAAAATTGACAATTATAGTCTCGTAGGTTTTCTCAGGGAATAACCGACGTCAGGCTAAACAGTTTTGATCAATTAGGTCAGACACTTTTGATTGGCATTTATATTCTAAAAAAATAACAAAACACAAATATGTGCAATGGGAGAAAGCATTAACAGACTAAACCTCATAGGCTGTCTACAGAGGCGGAAGCATTTGTGCACTGAAGTCGGACACAGCGCCTGAGAAAGATGTTAATCACTTGGCAGATATGCGACTGTTCTATGGCGACGTCCCTACGGGTGGTTATAAACATATATATATATGGATATAGGCAAAAATGCTGACCCCAGGTGTTAATAAGGAAGAGGAGGATGAGGCGATCTCTGGGGAAGAAGGTTTATTCATCTGACGTTTCGTGTTCATGCTCGAGCACATCTTCGGAGATAGGCTAAGTGAGAAATACAGGGTTTAAATAGGCCATCTGCACTCTCACCCGATAGGCTCGTCCCGTTCGCTTCTCGTTGGCCCCCCTCTCGCGCGTAGATGGTGCCTGACGGCCTCGTATGGCGCTGGCAAATCGATACTTCGGTTGATAGAGTTCGTGTCTGATTTCCAGGCCTCGATCACTTCCCTCGCCAGTTTGCTTTCGGCTCGGCCGAGCACCTGGGCGCCGTCAAAGTCGAACTTGTGATTGTTTTCCAGGCAGTGCATGGCGACATGCGATAGTACGTCCTTTCGCCTTACGGCCAAAGTGTGCTCATGCATGCGCGTTCT